AAATGTTACAGATTTTAAAAATATTTCAAGTATGATATCATGACTGTAGGTTATATCGTCTGGGGACAGTAGCGAAGAAAGTGATTCACACAAAATCCAGAGAAAGCGTAAAAAAGAGAAGAAACAAACACAAGTAAGTTGATTAATTTAAATAAATACACCTCAAGATTGCCTTCTTAGAAAATACTATAGGTTTATCTTATGCTCAAGCTTTACATTATACAGGGTTCGTACACCCCCTGGAAATCCTGGAAAACCCTGGATCTTTATTTTAGTCCTGAAAAACCCTTGAAAACCCTGAAATTTCAAATTTATCCCTGGAAAACTGAGAAACTGAGCTGGGTGTAGGATTATACCTTAAAAAGAAAGATTGAACAAAAGGTTCTTGCATTATATATAGTCAAACTATAAATATATTTCGTTCAAACTGGTACAAACCCTAATGTATCTGTGCAAGATGAAGTACTAGCCGTCGCGAACGTTTCTTATCTGTTAAACACTTATAGATTTATATTTCAAATGTCCCTGGAAAACCCCTGGAAAAAGGATGAAAAAGTCCTGGAAAACCCTGGATTTTTTAAATTACAGTATGAAGGTGTACAAACCCTGATTATAGTATGTGGTCACTCACTCTACGAATACACCTTGCCTCACTCGAACTTGTAGGTAGACTCTTCCACTGATGATGTATGTGATACCCTCAGTTATTTGAGCTCTTGCAACAACACTCCAGCCAAAAAGCAGAGGAGAACCAAAAAACGAAATCAAGTAGGTTGAACAAATCCATAGAAATGTGAAGCATTGAAACTGGTTTGTTGCTACAGTTATTACCTGAACTTGTTCAGCTAACTGAGGATTACAACCCAAAATTTCACAATTAGCCTATTTTGTGCACCATTCAATCTTGTACTCAGAGTATGTGTGTTCTCGGGAAGGTTGGGATGACTTTTGGAAGATCGAATGAAAATTTTCTCAATGGTGGAAAAGGAAAGTGTGGAAGTTGCTAAGATTAATATACTAGATTATTCAATTTTGAATTTTCCCAGAGTTATGTCAAGGGCAACCTGCGAACAGGCATACTATAGGTAGGAGATTGTGCAACACCTCTCACCCACCATTGTAGTATGAAAATGAAATCCATTTCCATGAGTTGGTCTCATAAGTATCTTTGTGTGTTATTTAGCGTAGCTCTTATTTTAGTGTGTAACTTGCGATATAAAATTGTTATGGTGCACTTGTAGGGCTTTTTACTGTCTTGAAGGTGTCACAAGAATTTCGGATCGCTCCCAAGGGGGGCGAATACCCTGGGGTATAAACATAGGAAAATAACAACATGCTAAGGCGAAGGTGACCAAGTCCAATTTTGGCAAATGTGTTACTGACTACTGTTAATATAACAACAATAAACATATTTCTTCTACAAACACAATAGTAAATTTATAGCTTAGCCTAGCTGAAGTCGTGGTATAGTACTAAATACCATAAACACGATCTATATATGAGAATTACCTAACCAATTCAATTATTTTCAATCAATATCAATGAATAATTTTGTGATTACTGCATCGATCGGACAATTGGGGGGGGGGGGGCGAATTCCTGGGACACTGTCACACAGATTTTTCCGGAAACTGAATTTTGTCGCTCAGTATTTTGGATGTAATTAGGTTATTTCGGTAGATAAAACAAATAAGATTGACAATTAACTTAGAGGCTAAGTGTGCTTATGGCTGCACCCTTCCAGCTGTGTTTTAAATGCAATTTGTTACAAATTCCAATGCCTTTTATTACAGATGGATACCACTGTCAATGAACTTTCACAAGTAATGAGTGGTCTTAGCTCTGCTGAAAGTAGTCCTGCAAAAGCTACGAAATCCTTAAGTGGAAGCTTTGTTGATGTTGAACCAAAGAGGCTGTTTACTGTCAAAGATGACGAGTAAGTTACATCTTACAAAATTTCCCATGCCAACAAATTATCATTTATTGAAAAACACATAGTACCTTGCCAAAAAGCGAATCACGATTTCCCAAAGACGCGGGCCCGATTTGGAAATTTTAATTGCATTTTATTTTTTCTGTAGGAGGAACGATAAATTCATATACCAAGAAGGAAAGCGCTCATACCTAAACCAAGATGCCGTGAATAAATTAGAGTCTATATCTGTTGATAAGGTCCCCCCAGTACCAAACGGCCCAGTCAAATACCGGGTGAAATATGTTGAAAGTGATCCTCTACGCGCCGTCTCGGATAACTGGAACTGGGGGCGTGCTCAGCCGTGCCCAAGAAAGGACTTCTGTAATGCAGGTAGAAGGACTCTCCAAATATGCAAAGGTTCCTTCGAATGTGTGAATCCTGGCTGCACTTATAAGAAAATACAGAATACAACAAACAAGGTAGATTTCTCAAAGTCAAAAAAGTGTACCCACTGCAAAGAAATAGCCCTACACATAGAATGTTCTGCCAGGAAATATGTAGAAAATGACCGTTGTCATAAAAAAATTATGGTAATATACGTCGAAACTCACGATTGCACTCCACGTGCCGATGACAGTAAGCCCAGCAAAGAAAGCGTTAAAGAGTATCTTAAAACGCGACCAACAAGCTGCGCCAAGCAAATACAAGTTGATAAAGTGAGGGAGGCATTGTTGAGTGGGAAAAACTGCGAGGAGGTCAATGACGTCGCATCGCAGTATAGCAACCAAAGGCATATCCAATACCTAAAGACCACCATTGACAAAGAGAATAGACCAGGCGGCTCTGACGTTGAAGCGATACGTAATTTAAAAGATGACTTTTCTAAGAGAGGCCTGGATGAAAACTTAATCATGGAAGTCGGTGATGATTTTGTTATTTTGTCATCCGCTACAAAAATACGACTCGCAGCTTTAATAACACTCGGGATAGTTACAGAGCCGGTTAGCCTGGATGGTTGTGAAAGTTTGGCGAAAGACTTTACAGAGGTGGAAATGACCACATACTACCCTCTGTTACGGCGTAATGTTAAACTGGTGAGCTTGTTCAGCCCAAAACCTGGCGAAAACTCGACCAATGTCGCCAAAATGGTAAAAACATTTGATGACGCAGTCAATAAAATGTTCCCTACAGTTGCAGAGGAGTATGGACTTGACCCCTTAGATTATATTGGCAGGGGATTGGACCCTGAATCGTATGTCGGAGATGAGGGCGGTGGACTTTGGAAAGGGTTGTGTCAGGTGAAAGGCAGAGCCGTAAAAAATAAAACAATATCAGACCTATTCCACTTTAAACAAGATGTTCGAAGGCATAGCAAGTATTTTGCAAGTAAAGCGGATCAAATCAAGTTTGAAAAAATCATGGATGAAGCTTATAATGCAATGACTTCCATTGAAGCAAAAAAATTAGAGGACCAGTTAGAAAGGCATATAAAGAATCGGGCCAGCGATGCTACTAAAATGTTGAATTTTAAGACATGGTGGTGGAGGAGAAGGGTTAGATGGCAGAAATGGTGCCGTTCAACCTCTACAACTAACGCTTCTTCCGCAGAAGTGTCAAACGCCAGAGCAGTCGCAAACACTGGTTACCGAAAGCGACTGCTAGATGTGGTAACCACAGAATGCTCTGCAGCTATTCTCGAGGCGGCGGAGGCGAACCGACAAAGCAGTGGACAGAAAACAATTGGACGCGGTCCTACTGCCGCCGACCGTTTAAAGAGGCAAGAAACGGAACTCTTTATTGACAGAGAAAGGTCTGCCTCAGCTATACAAAGTATAGCTAAGAATGCGGACAAATATCAGTCGTTGTCAGATGTCGAAACCGCACAAGATGACTACAACATCAATTGTAGAGACACCCATAGGTCTGATAAGTCAAGAAAAGCCCCAAAGAAATCGAAAAAAGATAAAGGGAACTCGATCGGTAGAAATAAAATAAGGTTTTTCAACAAATATGTCAAGGATGTTAATATGGATATCCTAAAATGTGACAGCAACATGTCACAATTTTGCATTACGCTGCTTGATACGATGGGGTACCAGCAGGACTTAACAATATCCAAGGATTCTGTGACATGCACATCACCTACGTGCAGTGGACTGTGCCATCATTTGACTTGGACTTTGCACACGATGTTTGGCTTTACGAAAGACGACCCTTTGGTTTATAAGAAGCAATACACTAGCTCTGAATGGGAAAACATTTTGAAAGCTTTTCCCGAAAAGGTCCCATTAGCTAGGCTCCCTGCTTCGACGAAAGGACAACGCTACGTTGCAAACATTCGTCATTCAAACAAAGACGCAAAGTGCGCAACGTGCAAAAAACAACTACAATCTGGCGACATGCAGATAGTAACAGAAGGGCCGTACAGAACGATAATGCGTCACTGGATTTCACGCATCTTTTTTTTCTGTCCCAAATTAAGTTGCATTACCAAGCAGCCGCGCAACTCTTTCATCCTTCCATATTCTCCGGTATCAATGACACTTGAATTTGACAAAAATTTGAGTTCGGCACAAAGAGCGCTTATTGAATAGAACACTCTAAAAGAGATTACTTTTTGAATTGAATTGAATTTTATTTGCCCATATGAAAAAGTTAATATTTACAATCTAAAGTATACAATAAAATATGACGGGCTAGGAGCCTTCATGAAACCCTTTCAGGCTTTTTGTTCAAAGGTCCCTAGTTCTATAATATTTTTACAATTGTTTTATATGGTAAGTTAATCATATAATGTCAAAAGAATATAGGAATATTTACAAATACAAGTATAAAGTAAGGAAAAGTATAAAGTAAGGAAAATTTTAAAGTAAAGGTAATATAATGAGCTAATTGAACAAAGTTTACAGATAATAACAATTAAAGTATATTTTACAAGAAAAATAATTTTGACTTTTTCTTAAAAGTACAATAAAATGTAATACTGCTAATTTCATTATCGAGTGAATTCCATATCTTCACTCCCTTGTTAACAATAGAATGTTTTGCATAATTTGTTCTACTAAAATTTACATGAAATTTGTTAGCATTTCGAGTATTGTAATGATGCACTTCATTGTTCTGTGCGAAGTAGCCATTAAAATATTCAGGTAAGTTTTGTAGACGTTTAAACCGGTACATAAATAAACAACTTAAAAAGTCATTGATCTTAAAGATATTCAAGATCTTTAAGTTCTGAAACAATGGCTCAGTGTGTTCAAGGTACGATTTAAAACTTATCAATCTGATAATTTTTTTCTGTATATTCTGTATTTTCTGTAGCCTTGTTGGGTACGTATTACCCCATACTAGATTCCCATAAGTAAGATATGGATAAACCAATGCATAATAAATCAACTTAAGTGTATTTTTATTTGTGTAATGTCGTAGTTTTGCTATAAGTGCCGTAGATTTAATTATATGTTTAACAACCGAGTTTATATGGTTTTTCCATATTAATTCACGATCTAAAATTACACCTAAAAATTTGATATGAGAAGCCTGTTGTATAATGTTATCATTAAGTTTACATATCGATTTCAATGTCGCAATTTTTATTTCTTGATTTAAAAATTATATACTTAGTTTTTGTTGTAATTATAGATAATTTATTCACGTTTAGCCATTTAATTACTTCATTCATTTCTTCTTGCATAACATGTGTTAATGATTTTAAGCATTTGTCAGAGTGAAATGCATTAGTGTCATCAGCATACATAACAAAGGATATAATTTTACTACAGTTTTCAATATCGTTAATATATAACAGGAAAAGTAGTGGCCCAAGAATAGAGCCTTGCGGAACTCCTGTAGATATAATCAATTTGTTTGATTTATGATGACCAAATTTAACAATTTGCATCTTTCATGTAGGTAGCTTTCAAACCATTTTAGGCAATTTCCTCTTATGCCATAATGTTCAAGGTTTTCCTCTTATGCCATAATGTTCAAGTTTTTTGAGGGAGGGGGTGGGTGATTTTGAAAAAAAATTTCCTGCAAGGCTATTCTGAACAAAAAAAAATACCTGCACTAACAAACTGGGGGGGGGGGAATATCCTGCCCCAGTATTTGGTGGGAAAAAAAATGTTGCAAAACAGCATGGTTGCAGGGATCGATTTGACCAGTCCGAGAAGATCAGCTGGTTTGATTTTCAGGGACTAGTGTAAGTTTAATTTCTTGTTGGAAAACTCCTCAAAATGCTGGAAATAGCTTATCTGAGCTTCAAAAAATCCAAAATTTTCGGGGGGGGGCATCTTCGGTGGTCGACTCAGTTGTCTCAGAGTCCTAGTTAAGCATGGCCTGAGCTGCTGCCCTATGCTGTAGGTAGCTGCAGTGGTACAGACAGGGCTGTAGCGAGGGGGGTATTGGGGGTGGTTAACCCCCCAACTTTTTTAGAATCAACATATTCAGAAAATCGGGTTGGCCATTCGGAAAATTACTGCAAATAATAGTAGAACAAAATTTTAGTTGTTAAACAGAGAAAAAAATATAAAATTGTATTGTCACTATAAATTGTAAGCAAATTGTAAATTCCGACATACTAAAACGCTTTTTTCTGACCATCGGCATTCTGTCAAAACTTCCCCCAAAGTCCAGGAAATGGCATTTCAGAGACTCGAAATTTATTTATTTAAGCCACCTTCGTGGCTTACTATGCCATGATACATTCGGAAATTATTTTCGTCATTCGGAAATTTTTGGCCTACCCCCCCCCCGAACTATACATGCTAGCTACAGCCCTGGATACAAACTTGCCAACTGGAACTTCTCCAGGTCCCCCGCTAATTATGTCCTCTCCAGTTACACATCCTCAAAAAAAGCCCTGAACCAAATGTTATACCTCATAGCAATATGTATTATTAAGAGCAATGCATGAAGCTAGAAAACTCAACGTTAAATATAATTAAAGAATTTAAATAGTTGTTAATTTAAAAATGTTTTTCAAAACATGCTGCGAAAGAAAGTGTGCCAAAAAAAATCGTACATGGTGATGGGATAAAAAATCTTGCACATAACGATCCCAGAAAAAAAATTCCCTGCCAGCAGTAAATCACACACCCCGTCCCTCAAAAGTTAAATGGTCGGCCCCTTATAAAACTCTCCATATTCGAGAGTTTGTCCTTGAGAGCGCTGTTTTTAATACTGAGGGTGTGACAATTATTGAATTTATTATTTAGCCGTTTAGAGAGGAGGGAAATACGATTCAAACTTCAATGGAAACTATCTATTTGACAATTGTTATTTATATATTATTATTCATGTTATTATAGTAAAAACGTTTGTTTGACTGTACAAAATGTACAAAACTTAAACCAAACTGGTTATTAATTAAATTACAGAAATTTTCGTCCAAGCACAAACCGCAAACATTTTCGCGCGTTTTTTTACGTTTATAACACGATGTTTACGGTTGAAAACGGAAGCACTTCAGGTGCAAAAATAAACCAATGGTAGCGCAAAACGTGACAGTTCAATGGGCGTAACTTTTATGTTTTGATGCGGGAAATACTCACAAAAGGCGTTTCAGTGTACAACCTTTCGTGTTTGACTTGCAATGGACGAAGACATCCAGGTTCAAGTTGATTTTCGTGGAATAAAGAGGGTGTTTGTCGCACCACAACCACGGACTTACAGTAACTTACTAGCTCTTTTACAAACCCATGTTAACAAAATTGATACTGCGTCATGGTGTTTGTTGTATGAAAATGATGAAGGAGATCACGTTGTTCTGCCGAAGGATAACTTCAGTTTGTCTGTGGCCATTCAGTCCTCTCGAAGAATACCTGGAATTGACTTGCTGCGTTTGAAAATTCAAGTGCTGGAATCCAAATCTCCAACTCCAGTTAAACAAACACAAGGAGGTAATGTCGGTGTTGAAACTCTCACGCATTCTTTTTCTACCGGGATGAAGGAATTGACAGAATTGTCACCAACTATAGTGTCACCAGCTTCGAAACGCGGAAAGTTCTCATGTTCTGCAAGTGAACACTCGCCGACCAGATGTAAAAAGCAACTTAGTTTCGCCAGCGGTTCTGTTGATATACACGATAGCATATTGGATGCAAAATATGATGATGATCAAAGTAAAACCCCTCTGATGAGATACATTGAAAAAACTGAAGTAGATATTGCAGCCGAGGAAGAAAGCCTTAGCGTACTTCGTGCAAAACGTGACTCGATAACAAAACGTCTTGAAAAAGTGAAAAATTACCCGTCGCATGGAAATCTCTGTAGAAAATGTCACTTGCGTCTTGGACATACTGCACGTAGTTGCACTTATGGTCTATGTGATTCGGTTTTTTCTTGCGGCCAAGAGAAATTTCATTCAGGTGAACTTAACATGAAAGAATTGGATAATGGTATTCGAAAGAAAGAAAAACAAGTACAGTTGCTCAAATGTGAATTAGAAAATAAGAAGGCCGCTTGTAGATCAGTGAAAGAATCGTTGTCTAGACGGATCGAGGCAGATTTATTTGAAGAAAACATCGATGAGTATATGTATTATGGCCAGAAAAACTGGACTTTGTTGCGGAAACATGTACACGCTGTCGAACAGTACTGCAAAAATGAGTACAACGGAAAACTACCAGCAAAGAAGGATATCAAATTTGTTTTAAGAAAGGCTCTTGAAGGTAGCAGGTCGTCCGTAAACCCTTCCACAATTCGCGCCAGACAACGGCATGAAAATCCAGCCAAACATGTTCTAGAAAGATGTGGAGTTAAATTTCCCACTGCTACGCCATCCCATGCAAGTTCATCATGTACTGTTACGTCGTCTTCATTGGCTAGTGCAAAATCAGTCAACAAGGGTGCTAGTTTGTATAGACGTTGCATACCATTTTCGAAAGAAGAGGAAGACGCTCAAATTCAAACGGCTTTGATAGAGAGCCGTTTTATATCTGTTAAACCTAGTGAACAGCCAATTGACACTTGTCCAAACATGGAGAAAACTTGCCCAGACATGGAGAAATGTACGAACTCAGGTGAGAACTCTGTAGACAGGGATGAGTCAGACTCTAGTGATAATGATGATCAGGAAGCGGCAAACATTTTGCTCAGTCTGATGAAGTGACTTTCTTAGTCAAGCACTTTATATACTCGATATTGTATCTTGTTGATATTCTGCATGTACATTGACAATGAATCGTTAGTTATTAATTGCTGTTGTTTTCCAAATATGTGGATTATAATATGTCAGTTACTGTAGCAGCAAAGGTCATATCTAATTAGTAATTATCAGTTACTATATTTAGTGATTGCATTGCAAAAATTAATATTACAATTTTGTTCAGTTGAAAGAATCAGATGTGAAGTTTCATGTTGTATTATTGTTATATTATTTTCGCCGGACGTGTATTCCTTTTCAAACGTATATATTTTATTAGTAATTCAAGAAATAAAACAAAAACTGATTTCAATTCATTGTATAAAACAAATATGTGACAACATTTTTTCGTAAACATATGCACATCACTTATGCCCTGTATATGTATTGAAATCATTTTTTGTTGCAAGTTGCAGCAATAACACGAAGAATGAATAACATTGAAGGGTAAACGAAATGGAATTTAATTTTAAATAAAAATACATGCCAATTTGTGCCAAGTATACAATTACAATTACTGCTCAGACAGACGTCTAGACGAGCAAGTTTTACACAAACAAGTACGAAGTGTTTTTGTAATAGCCTTTCATATCGTTCGAGCTAATTGTTTCAATGGCTTGTACGGTAGCGAGCTTGAGATTTTCTTGGACAATCTGCTGCAATTGGCCATTCAAAACTGCCTTAACTTTGCCAAAACAACTTTCGATTGGATTAAAATCTGGTGAATACACAGGCGTATACAAAAGTTCTATCCCCATTTCACTGAGCCAATCTTCTAGAATCGTTCCACCATCATAATGATGGACATTCAAGTTGTCCATGACTATGATGTCTCCGTTTTCGAGAGCGGGTCTCCCAGTAGAGATATTCACAGCTTCGGCCGCCTCCGTAAAAAAGTTTAGGAATTCAACCGTATCCGTTGCGCCATCAATAAGATTAAAATATTCCGGACCGTTTAAAGATACAAGCATGTTGAGCGTCACATTTCTAGTTTCCCGTTTCTTCACAAGCTCTACACATCTCATTCCTACAGGAGCGTGTCCATATACCCTTGTCCTGCAATCTGGTAGCTTGAGCCCGCTTTCGTCAAAAAATTTAATTCTGTAAGGATTCTTCGCGCTAAGATAATCGATAAAAAGTTGAGTGTAAAGAATGTTGTCTTGAGTAAAGCGTTCTCGAGCAATCATTGTCAGTTTCTTACGCGAATATTGATGTCCTGAAGGCATTCTTGTTTTGAGCGCTTGTGATATTGCGCTAATCGATGCACTGTTTCCCATTTCTAGCAGGATGCTGCTAATTTCGGCAAGCGACGTCGATGGTTTTTCATGCTTAAGTACTTCAATTAATTTGAGATCTTCGTTTGTTAATTTTCCTTGAAAACTACCTCCTGTAGGATAAGCTGACACTGAATATTCTTCGCAAAAACGTTTCCATATTTTGTTCAGCGTAAACACTGAAATGGTAAGATTTGTAGCCAAGTGGGATCTACACACTGGAATATAGCCAGTGGATCTTTCGCCCCCCGCGGCTATTATTTTTTCAATAATCACTCTTCTGAAATCATCCTCTATAGCTTTTCCCGGAATATAACTACGACCAAACCTGTTAACATTCATTTTGAAACGCCTTTTGTGAGTATTTCCCGCATCAAAACATAAAAGTTACGCCCACTGAACTGTCACGTTTTGCGCTACCATTGGTTTATTTTTGCACCTGAAGTGCTTCCGTTTTCAACCGTAAGCATCGTGCTATAAACGTAAAAAAACTCGCGAAAATGTTTGCGGTTTGTGCTTGGACGAAAATTGCTGTAATATTGGTTTCAAGGACAAGGTTATATGAAAATGTTAGTCAACTAATTTATTCTTTGTTTGCAATGACGTAATTTTGGGATTTTAAGGTTCGGTCACACGGAGCGACAAGTCGCAGGGGCATGTTGCAGGGACATGTCGCCCGAAACGAGTCACACGAAGCGACAATGCTAGGCGAAAACAAGTCGCACAAGCGCTTATAGGCGCGTGGTCACACGAGGCGACAATTCATGCGACAAGTCGCACTGTGCCGAAACCTGGGTACGAATAGCTCAGTAAGTGTTCATGTAAACAAATATGGCGTCTCGATTGACTCGACACCGTAAGAAAACAATTTTATGTATACTAATGATGATAATGGATGATCATCCTTCGGTTACAGTTGAAAGGAAAACTTGGGCTCGAAACTGGCTTTTAAGACGGACTGAACTAGGTGCATATCATACAATTTTTCGTGAATTATCTGTAGAAGATACAGCAGGGTTCAGCGAATTTATGAGGATGCCATACTCTAAATTTACTGAATTGGTCGAACTAATAAGCCCTATAATAGCAAGGTGTGATACTATTATGAGGGAAGCTATTTCACCAGGTGAGCGATTAGCGATATGCATAAGGTATTTGGCTACAGGCGAGACATTCCGTTCGTTATCGTTTCAGTTTCGAATTGGAAGGACAACTATATCTGAAATTGTCCTAGACGTCTGCACAGCTATTTTTAATGAACTGGGAAAATCCCACTTGCAAACCCCAAACAGTACTGAAAAATGGAAGGAAATCGCTGGATTATTTTTATCAAGGTGGAATTTACCAAACAATATTGGGGCAATTGATGGCAAGCGTATTTTGATTCAAAAACCAGCACATTCAGGATCACACTTTCACGATTACAAAAGTAATGAAAGTATTATTGCGCTAGTTGTTGCCGGGCCTAACTACGAGTCCCTGTATGCGGATGTTGGGACAAATGGTAGAAATCCAGATGGGCATGCTTGGAGTAGATGCACATTAAAGAAAGCTCTGGACAGTGCAATAAATCCCTTAAATTTACCAGCTCCATGTACACTTCCTGGGCGGTCAGTTCCTGTCCCATTTGTTCTTACAGGAGATGAAGCATTTCCATTGACAACTTATTTATTAAAGCCTTATCCAAATAAAAATCTCACAGTAGAGCAAAGGATTACCAACTACCGCATTTCAAGAGGCAGAAGAATATCTGAAAATATTTTAGGTATTTTGGGAAATAGGTGGCGCTGCTTTCGTGTTCCATTTTTATTGGAACCAGAAAAGGTAAAGAAAATAACATTGGCCATCCTTGTTTTGCATAACTGGCTAAGAGCTGATGCCAGAAGCAGTGCTGTCTACTGTCCTTCGACCCTTATAGACAATGAGAATTGTGACACCGGAGAAATTATTAAAGGAACTTGGAGAGCAGATACCACCTCAGAATCATTTTTAGATTTACAACCAACTATTTCCAGAAATAGCACAAGTAAAGCTAAACAGATGAGAGAGGATTTCAATGTATGGTTCAATAATGAGGGAGATTTGCCATGGCAAAGACAAAAGTGTGGATTGTAATTTTAGTGTTAATTTAATTTCATGCTGAACTGTTAGTTTTGATATTCCTACATGGCATAGGGTAAAGGTAAATGTGGATATGAGCATATCAGTCAATAGATGGATCATATTATAATATTAACTACTATATACTTTCCAGGATATAAACATTTTCAAAATGTTTATGTAACTTGTTCAAAAATTATAATTGCTTAACTGATATTTTAATTAATTAAGTTTAGTTAGTTTAATCAAAAACTTTTTTGAAAATAATTTTGAAACAAATGATAGCGATATTACATTTATTAAATGACGTTTCGATGCTACAGCGTGCATCATTTTCAAGTTATAGTTCGTTCAAAACTTTATACTTAGTCCCATAATTAATGGGCTTTATGTTTGTTTTGTTTAGTATGTTTGTTTTTGTTTTTTTGTGTGTGCATGTTAGATACATTTATGAAAGACAGAAATATGTTTAATCTGTTTTAATAGGCCTATGTTTTCTTTTAATTACGTAGATAACCTTGGTTTTCTGAGTAAGAGATAACCTTGGTTTTCTGAGTAAGATGGTGTTGATGTACTCGCCATATTTTCAAAATCGGTACTTTCCTCAATTTTTTAATTACGTCATATAAATTTAAATTTTGCATGCTTACGCAATAATTTGCTAATGTGACATGAACGGTTTAATTAAAATCAACGCAATATATGTAATTACTATAACACAGAATAAGGTACACAGAAGGTCGACTCGAGTAACGCTGCCACGCCATGATTCATCAAAATGCTGATGCCATGGTCCTAGCCAGTGCAGGTTTGAGAGGCATTCCCCCCCTGGACATATGCCATTTTGAATAATATCAGGGGGGTGAATGCCTCTCAAACGCGCACTGGCTAGGACCATGGCGTCAGCATTTGATGACGAATTACGGGTTATGCCAAAATCATAGGAAAAACAAAGAAGTTGGCCTTCTGTGTACCTTATTCTGTGACTATAGCTTGTTACTTAACTAATTACTATAGTGATGTACGCTGTAGCATCGAAACGTCGTTTAATAAATGTAATATCGCTATCATTTGTTTCAATATTAGTTAGTTTAGTTTTAATTAATTAAGATTAAGTTAAATGTTTTCATTTTTTGTATAGTAGTTTATGTTTATCAGAGAATACAATAATATCAGTCAAAACACTTTTAACTTTTATTGCTCAAATTACTTATTACTGTATCTAAGCAGCAAAAATAACAAAATTCCAAACAAATAATACATTAATCTCTCCATCAATACTGTCAGTGAAGGATACATTTTTAAGGCACTGCTTCAACAATAAATGGTCTCTAAAAGTAAGTGTAACTTCATTGTTGGTATATACATTCTTGTGGTAAAGATATTTGACAAACTTTGCAAAATACTCTTGTGTCATTTGGGAATTCAGTATGTTCAGGCTTTGAGAGAGATTAGAGAGATTAATAACATTTAGTAGTAACAGTTAATTATTAGCCAAGAACCAGACTAATCTAAAAGACAAATAACAATGTTATGTCGTTCAAAGGCATAGAAATAGTAAAAAAATATAAAAATTGAGCTTCCTTGCACAACATAACATAAAACTCAACAGTTCACTCATATTATTATAGACAAATGTATGTCATTAAAAGTTTGAAAAAGACATTGGTGTATAAGAAGGCATTTGAGAACTACCTAGAGCCATTTGTTGATACTGCATGCTCTGAGCACTTGATGAAGCAGGGGAATAACCTTGGTTTTCTGAGTAAGATGGTGTTGATGTACTCGCCATATTTTCAAAATCGGTACTTTCCTCAATTTGATACAATATATCACTTATACATTTCTTAGCCCTACGGAACTGCCTTGGTGTAAATTTCCCTAATGTTAACCTAACACTATTTGCAAATACCGCTGCTTCATTGTCTCCAGTCGGTTGTTGTGTAGGAGCTGGGGCTGGTTCAGGTGCTTTTAATGCATTCACAGCCTGTGCAAATAGTTCCAGTTTTTTTTCCTCACGTTCTGTCTGTTCTTGTTGTTTTGACAACTTCCTACTCTTGGCGGCTTTAGATAATGTATCTACAGTATCGTCAGTATCATCACAAATAACTGTCACAAATTTTAGCTGTTCAAAGAACTCTCATGAGGACTTATAAATATCATTTTTACCAGATCCACTTGGTTTATGAGATGCTTTTACGTGTTCTTGCTTGAAAAAATTGATAAGTTCTTTCCACTTACTCATTATTTCTTCAGCACTGAACTTATCATCAAGGATTTTAATAAGGGTATCATATAAAACGTCTTTGTTGCTGTCTTGATGGTAATCGGCAATATTGTGATTCCACAAGCTTTGATTCTCATGGTAAAAATTGATCAAGGATTCTGAAGGGAAAAGAATCACAATTTATTCATTGCTTGATAATATCACTTTATAAAAACGAAGTGGCTATTCGTACTGGAATATGGCACCTGATTCTTACATTACGTAAAGTAGCAATATAAAATAGTTTTTTGCAACAGATTTTAGCGAGCTCTTGACGCTAGCGTATTCAGCAAAGGCGTGGCGTGCGAAGTGAAACGAGGTCGGGTCCGTGTTTAGTTTTAGCCGTCGGTTTTCTGTTGACTTAGAAATTTTTCTTAAAATATATATACATATTTTTTTTTCCTGACATTTTTAACTCTCAAATAGTTTATTAGACCTTTATTGGTTAGGGTTAGAGAAGGGGCTCTGGAGAAGGGGTTGGGGTTTTGGTCAGGTTTATCTTAAATATTATGACTGCAGTACGAATAGCCACGGCGTTATAAAAATAGCATATCTTGTGAGAAACTATTGCATACGTTCAATTTATACATGTATCTATGTTAGTAGTGTTACTATGTACTGTAACCATGTTTACCTGTCTCTTCAAAGGACCACAACTGCTTTGTTTTGTCGTGCATTTGAAGAGAATTCCTAAGAAAGATCATACATCCCAATATGTCCACTTTACAGGTTCATCGGTCGTTTTTTTCATGTATCTGAGCACGCTACTTCTCAGGTTGTGCCATCTCTTTTTTATGTCGTCCAGTGTTCTTGGTGGAGTTGACTTTTCCAGCTTTGCTACAAGCGGAGTCAACGCTTTTTTGGTTTCTCCTTTGTTCCCATATTTTTTATGGTTTTGATCCCATAACAATGGATTTTCTTTATAATGATCGATTAACATTCTCGTTGTGTTTGCACTCCATGATGTGATATCCGCCATATTGAAATTGAGCGTGCAAGTAGTCTTGGGAATGATATTTTGTGATTGGTCAGACTAATTATTTCCCCGCGACTTGTGAACAGACTAGCTCACACGATGCAACAAGTCGCGGCGACGGTTTTTTTCCCCGCGACACGTCGCATGAAATCAAATCAATTTGATTTCATGCGACATGTCGTGGGGACAATTTTTTCTTACACATGTGACACACAATGAAATTTGACCCCGCGACATGTCCCTGCAACATGCCCCTGCGACTTGTCGCTCCGTGTGACCGAACCTTTAAGACTAAAAAGATGAATTACCGCTCAGTTTTTCTTTTATTGCTACAACCATTCTGATAGGAGAAAAATCGTCAACAAGTTGTTTGATTGGCCGTCATTTGGATGAAAAGTCACGTGATTGCAAACAAAGAATTTGCACGTTTTAGGCATGCCTCGCACGTTTTGACAATGCCTCGCACGTTTTTCGTCACGCCTCGCATCGTGCCTCGCACTATAGTTAAACTCTAGCTTGTTGACATTTAGTTTATGAACTGTATATGAGTTTGTATGCATTTCATTTAGGACAGGTAATCTCAACTGTTTTAGGGTAAAATGACCATGGCAGTCAACATGGCATATGTGCCAAAACCTGAATCGGGGGAGAAAGTCCTGAAAATGAACCTGTCCTGAAATGACAGTGTCAACATAGCTCTAACTTTCAAGAGGAAAAGCGATAGCCTTTCTGAAGTGCTTTTAGTGTAGTAGGGTTGCTTTTAGTTAGGGGTGGTCATTGGATGGAAAAAATTGTCAAGTATAATATTTTACAAGAAAATGACCATGCACCACCCCACATAAATTGCTAATTATGCATAAAATAACTAATATTGCCTGGCAGAAATTAAATTTCCTTATTTCCTAAAAAAATTATCATGGGATCATTACAACCCGCATGCTTAAAATCACAGCGGGAACTGCACATTCAGTGTGCAGTTCCCGTTGTGATTTTCCATTTGCCCAACATGCTGCCTGTAGTTGTTAGACACCTTTACCTATCACCAATCGTCTGCATCGCTTACGTCTCAGTGTGTGATCATGAAATATGACTGCAGTTTAGTTCCATTTTGCTGGTTATTTATTAAATGGTCTGGTAAATTTAATGTGCCACATACTCACATTTCTTTCGTAGTTCAGAGGATTTTAATGTATTTAATTGATTACCCGCATGAGCAGAATGGCATTGCTTTAAAAGTTTTAAGTATATCACTTCATATATTAATTCATTAAGCGGCAAGCTGTTACAATGTTTCTACCCACCTAAGGCGCAAGCAATATTGGCGAATTTGTGATTGAATTCAAGAGCTTTCACCAAAATGGCAATATCTCAGAAACAGTTGCATAAAAAAACTGATCTTTTCAACCAAACATTAGTGATATATGATTGACCAAATTTAGTCTAAATGACTTTGCATACCTACATATATCATTAGTTTTTTCAATGAGAATTTTTATTTGTAAAGCAGTGACACTTTGTTTTGCATGTCACTCATCATCTAAAGGGGCAATATCTCCATAAATTTATATAAAAACCAAAAAAAAATCATTTACTAAATTACTAAATTAATGAAATTTAGAACAGTAACTAAGTGTTCATTGCTAGAAAAACGCAACATGCGATTGCGCAACACCTCAAGCGCATGTATCCGATTGCTTTTAATTAAAATATTTTTATATGGAATTGTATTAGAATTGCACAATTATTTAAAATATTAGCTAAACTGTTTGTGAATCGGAACAAACGAAAGCAAGACATTATACAGTAAATATCGGAGAATATTATCCACCAAATAGTTACCGTATACTACAAATTGTGATTTGTCCCCTGCGAATTTTATGAAATCCAGTTCTCTATAAGGCCGTGACTGTAATAATACATGTCAAGTAGACGACAGTGACTATACAACAGGCAAAAAAATTAAATGAACGTACAAAATTTACAAACGAAACTTGAAGTTGCGACTCGAAGATGTCTAGTATCATGATATATAAATATTTCGTTCGCTTATCTTATTCCCGTTTGTCCCTCGTAAAATATATTTCAACGCACACGAAACCGTTCGCAAATCATCCGCTAAAGGAGCAAATATCTTGCACATTGAAACAGCCATAACTTCTCGAATATTTGGGGTATTTCAAAACTTTAAAGACCAAATTAAAGCTCGTTTTCAAAATTATAGTCTCCATGATCTTTTGTTTATGTTCGGAGCATGAAATAATATATATTCGCCACTGACCAAACCGTTGTGTGGCTTCATGCCCGACTGCATTCCACCTTTTCTCGCCGCCAAAGATTCACACCAGAAATTCAGCTTTAAAATTCGATTCGCCAAAGACTATCTAAAGTCAAGTTACATGCGCCAAAGGTGCAGAAATCTCTATGGAAATTGGAGCCCGATGACATCATTTTGACGCATCAATTACGTCAAACATACTTGTTGGTCCTGGAGCCTTGCTCTCATTAGTAAATTACGCAAGGTGATTGGCTCACAATTCATGAGAGCAAGGCTCCCCAGACCAAATGACGTAATTATCGCTAATCTGAGCCAACGCAGTGGCAGCAGTGCTGGGCCAAATGACGTAATTATCGCTAGCTCCCAGACAGAAACGCTGAAATTGACCTATTGATCAAACACACAACCTGGTAAATCGAAAAACGTCAAAAGCAGCAGAACTGTGTCAATCAAAACATATATAGTTTAATTTTCGAATAAACTACAGTATAGTTTCAAACAAGTATTACACAAGAGAATTTAAATATTCTGGCTAATATAAAACGTTACAATTATTGTATTTTTAACCTGACAGTTGTCAAATTCTACAAAACATATGGCAACTTAGTATCAGCATTTTCAATTATGTCAATAACTTTGCTTGCCTTATAGTTACATTTGTCCCCGATAACAGGTAACCAATGAGGTTTTAGGCCTTTCTTCTTGTTTCCGTCAAGATAAAGTGGGGCAACTTCCTTAACCATGCGATCAGCTTCCAACGGTCCGGGCAAGCTCCAGTCTAACTTTGTTTGTAAGGAAAGGTTTTCATTATTTTGACCACCAGCTTTCTTGTGGCACTTCATCAGGGAGTAGAATGACTCGACGATTGCTTCAGGTCCACCTTTTGCAAGTGCAATATCGATGACCAAACATATTTCTTTGCCAAGTTTGGAATACACACATTCATCTGTATACAACGACAAATAAACCGCGGGCTCGTTCAACTGGACTGTGTATATCTTCTCATCTTTCGTGAATCGCATATGAAATCTAGTGGTGACAAACGACTGGGACGAGTGGTCTTCCAATACTTTCTCCATGGAAGATAGGTTACCACTATCTTTAGAAATAACAGAAGAAAGAGGTTTAATTTTCCCACTGATCTCAGACGGGACGTAATCAAACCAATTGATCATGGTTTCTCTACCCTGCCACAAAATATCTTTGAGTGCTTGCTTCAATTTTCGGTGCACAATGTGACTTAGCCGAGGGTCAAGATCAATGACACCATCCTCAATGGCCAATTTAACATGCGTAATGCTGCATATATGACTTATAAATGCCTTGAAGCCTTCCGTCCCATATTCTTCAAGATCTCCCTCATTTATGCATGGCTTGCCATCTCGCCTTTTACCACATAGCAAAGTGATGATGGACTCTAAATCAAGA